CGGTATGAATTGAGTAATGTGAGGCTACGGAATGGCTATGGACGTGCAAACCTGAAGAATGTTTCAGCGCAAGGAACTTCACCAGCTGATGTTGTCCACTTCTTTGGTGGATCTAAGGGCTCACAATCACAACCCAGTAATGCTGCTACACCAGAGCCACCAGAGCCAATTGAAGAACCATCAACACAATTGGTTCAGTCAGCTCTATCCAGCTGTCCCGAAGGTGAGCGCTTGGATGTGGATGAAGATGTCGAAGCAGTCGGGGAAGCCACAGATTGCGAACCCCAGGAATCCCAAGAGGAGCCCCAAGAGTGTGTTGAACCTATTGAAGATGTTCAGCCGACTGAACCATCACCAGCGATTCCGTTGGAAACAAACCAATCATTTGGTTCTCCAGGTTCATCAGCGGAGGTTCATGAAACTCATGAAACAATGCCACATCAACACGAGCATGTTCAAGATGACCGCAATGCTACTTCACCAATTGTTGACACAGTGGAGACGGTTGAGACTTCGCAGCAAGAACACAATATTCAAGCAGCTCAAGAACTTCCAGAGGTTGAGGTTGAGGCTGACATCACATGTGAAGTTTCTTTGCTTGTTCTACTTGTAGAATAGATCACCTTTATTGATTTTGTTTTGTGGTTAGTTTGTCTAATCGATATGAGTAGTTCGAGATCACAGCACAACTTAACTAACTGTTTTGTAGGGCTTCCGGGCTTCCAGAGCTTCCAGACTTCGCAATTTCACGACTTCACATTGTTCAAATTGTCCAAGTCGGATTGCCTCCTCAGGCTCCTCAGGCTGCCATTGAAGCCGATGGGCCACCTTGGAATGCCACAGGAGTGACGCCGGACGCTGATGCTAACGATGATGGCCAACCTCAACCGTCTAGTGATCATATGAATTATGATGCGGCAAATCACTATGCGGTTAAGTCGTTTGAAGATGCCAACAGAAACTCTGATCTATGTAATGTTATGTTAGGCTGTTAGGTGTTGAGTGGTTTGTTTTTTGTTTTCATAGTTAGCGGTCATAATGATCATCATATAGGCTCCATAAATTGGGACTCTAAGTCTGGCAACAAAACATCTCAGGATGGCCATCAGACTTTATCGAGATGTTCTTGAGCTTGCCCCAGGAATTGTATGACGACCATGAATCGAGTGACGGTATCAGCCAACTGATGGCATTGCATCATCGAATGCAAATAGCGACGTATTCGACGGCCTTCTCAGGCGTTGATACTCCAGGGACTGCATTTGCTCAGCTTCGAGCGGCGTTGGCCCAGTTTCTCGTGGATCACGGGGTCGATGGTGTCGATGGTGTCGATAGCACACATCATCCACAACACCTTCATGGTATTGTGTCTTGATGTCAGAAGAAGATGTTGATTCTGTTGATCACATTGATTAGTTTTGTGTTTCTACATCAGAAATAGGAAATAGGTTGAACACATGTCAGCTTCCAATGCTAGATCTTTGGCTTTGGAGTTCAGTAAAGGAATGGAACCATCACAGCCGCTTTGAATGTGAACATCATCCACACCCTCCACAGTGCATGTTTGGAGATATTGCCGACTTCTTTACTCCAGCGGTGAAAGCTATACTACCTAATCTCCACACGGGCAATCTATTCGAGACAAAACTGATGCCGCTGGTGATGAACGGACATGGAATACAAATGACTCTTAATTTGTGAAAAATATTTAGTTTTAATCTTTTCAGTAATGTAGTAAAGTAAAGGCAGTAAAAGCCAAGGTCACCAACCCCGATTGTTTAGTTATGTTGATCAAGTCGATCAAAAACACCAAAGTCCACCAAAGTCCTAATCTGAGGAGTGCTTACTGCCACATACACAAAAAGATATGTACAATCGAGAATCAGTGTGCCTTTCTGCATTGCGCCGGCACTCCATGCACAGCCTGGAGTCCTGCAGGGTTGCAGGATGGAGAAACAGCTCTATCACATGCGCATTTTCTTGCGTGGGCTGGGCTTCGAAGGAAACTCGAAGAGCCACTGATTATCCAAGAGTGTACTGACAAGTTTCCACGAGAGGTATTTGATCAAGTACTACCTCAATACAACTGGCAGTGCATAGTTCTGGACCCACAACAATTTGGTTGGCCGGTGAGACGTCCCCGACAATGGTGTGTGTGCCTTGAGCAACCCTTAGCAACAACAATGGTTTTGAACAAAGTGAATTGGTTGGTATGTTTGAATATCTTTTGATATATCTTATGTGACTGTGGACTGTGACTGTGACATATAGATTTATAAAACAATATATAGAAAGACATATGACATAGGAGATTTTGTTTTCACAAAGAGTTCAATATTCAACCACGAGCAACTTAAAAACTGAGGGGTAGACACAAGGGCAAGACGATGGGCTTCCGGTCAGCGTTGGATGAGTTTCTGAAGCACTTCTTCCGAGCATGCAACGCCAACGTCGATTGGAGCATGTTCTTTTGGGAGTCACTCGCTGTAAGCAAATTGATGCAAATACAACTCACTTCGTTTCTTTATGACTTTTGAGACTTTTGACTCAGACTCAGACTCAATTAGGATTATCAATCATGGTCCTTGGAGTCCTTAGTCATAAGTCCTCCCGACTCCCGACCTCCTGCCTCTCAGACTTTAGCCAGCGGCGGCCAAGGACAGATCAGGATGAACTCAATGCTGAGCTCAAGTGGGCCTGCTCACGGCCGGGTAGCTTGTGGAACTCAGCTGGAGATCTTTCTGAAGTGCCAGATGTCTCTATGCCAGATGCATTTGAACGATGTTTCAGTCAATGGGAGCTTGATGCATACGCTGAATATACCAGATCTTACCCCAACGCAGTGTATGCCATGAATCAGAATCCAACTTGTCGCGCTACCCTCACTCGGGGACAGGCTGGAATCATAGATTATAGTCTATAGTCTATAGTTATAGTCTGTTATTGTTATAGTTGATAGTTTCTTGTCTATTGTTATTGTTTCTATTGTTTCTGAATCTACCTAATTTGGTCGATTCGACGTGATTCATGTCGATTCCAATTCCGATGAGGTGTGTGGTGTCAGGCTAGGATGATTCAAAAACGATAGGGAATACTAAACTACAGAAACAATCATGTCTGGTTGTCGGTGTTGTTGGACTTTTAAGAAATAAACTCATTGGACTCATTGGAATGATTGGATCTTCTTTGACTTGATTGAGTTTGTAATTTGTAATTACTTTTGTTGTCGCCGTCATATCGTCATCGAGTCATCGGACCATCCGATCATCTTGCTGTCGGACTGTCACTGCCTCCGTTGCCACCATCAGGCAATGATGACCTTGACAGCGACTTCAACGCTGATCATGAGCCATTCTTTTCGCAGGTGGCTGACAAAGAAAGAGATACTAACTTTGCAGGGTCTACCAGTCTCAACCAAGCTTACACCGGGCTCAGTACCAACAAACTCATTTGATTTGCGGGCATGGCAGAAAGAACACAACCTTCCATATGCAGCCTGGCCCGGTCGTCAAACGACAATCTCTCAAGCGGGCAATGCAATGCATGTGTCCTGCGCTGGTGCTATGTTGTTGTTTGCAATATCGCAAACTATCATGGATGTCGGAATGCTTCGTTTACAGAGGTCTTGGTTGAAACGCCAGTTGGCTCTGTGTGTGGAATACACCATGGGCAACGCCGGCAACGCTGAGGATTCAAACGAAGCTAGCAGTGAGACACGCAGTCGGCGTAGGCTTTGTTGATGTCATTGATATACTGATACATGACCAAACGAAACAATGACAATAAACTATTTGTTTGGAATAAAAGGACTAACTTAAATTGCATAAGGTCATAAGGCCATGAGTCCCGAGTCACAAAGAGAGTCTACTTCTACTTCTACGCCGGCGCATTCAATTTCAATTCGTCCATGGCTGGGCTGGGCTAAAGATTGCCCCGACTGCTGCAACATCATGGGAAAACAGTGAAAAAGTAACATATGCAATCACTGCAAATGATTGCGATGCAATGGAGTGTGACTCAGCGTGCCTTGAGTGATTCAACTGACCAATCCATGGTCAATTCAGATTCAAGTGTTTGTTTCTCATAGACTCACTGACTGACACAGACTGACACACTGTCTAGCATTCTATCCAATGGACCAATGGATTCGTACTACACATCGTCGGCGTCAGCGTTTCTCCCTCCCTCACTTCGCCCCTACTTCCGCCTACTTCCGCGATTCCACATCGGTCGAACGGCTTTCCGGCTGGCCTGAGGCCGTGACCACAAATAATTTGACATCTCGAAGCGCCATGAGTGCGCGGCGCCCTAAGTTTCGACTGACTGAGTCTTTTCTCACTGTGCCTGTGCCCAGCATAGTAAAGCTGACAACTTTTGGGCTTTTGGGGTGGTAGTGGTGTGGCGGTTGGGCTAGAACGTTCATCGCTTGAATCGGAGTCAGACATTAAGCATGTCATGTCAACTCAACTGTATCGTTTCATCTTGAGTCATCTTGAGATCATCTTGAGCAGTCCAGTGAACACTACTTGCAAACTTGCAAATTTATTTTGCAGAAAGAGAGGCTCAACATTATGTTGTGTCATGCAGTGCTGTACTATATGCTTTACAAGACAAGATTGTCACTGTGTCAACATTGTATTGTCAAGACTCCCCCAATAACAAACACATGTTAGTTCATTGTCATGGAACCATAGATTGACTTTGCTGCAATTTGTTTCCAAGTGTTGCAAGTCTGAAGTCATCGTCAAATGTTTTATATAACACCTTGAGCAAAAAAAACCAGCTAACCACTGGCACTGATCAGCTCCGCGATTGGTGACTGCCATACCCTCGAACTTGTGACTTTCCGGCTACACCTGTCAGCCGGTCATCGCTTCTTGGAAAGGACCTTCAAGTCAGGGCCAGGGCTTGTCTTTGGAATGGCGGCTGAAGTGCCAAAATCCAAAAAAGGAGTTGACGTGTACCGGAGTGACGCTTCGATTTCCGAGTTGTTCGGGGACATGAATGGGCGATCGCTTTTGGAGGCTATTTGGAACACTTACCAAGTTACTTTGCTCATTGTTAGTTTTTGTTATTGTTTGTTTTCTTACTTGCTGGACTGTACTGTACAAATCACAAATTAGTATTAATCAATTATCAATATCATTTGCTTTGTTTATTTCGTTACTTTATTTTTAAGTGTCTGGCATGAGACAGACTTACAGTCTACCACACGGTCTAAGTCTAAGAGTCTTAGACTTAGACCGTGTGGTAGACGACGACGACAAAAACAAGGTCGGCGACAAGCAGCGAATCAAATTCTTTGCTGATTGCAACGAAGTGGGACAAAATCAAGTTCCCTATGCTCAGCGCGTGCGGAACATAGGACGCCACCCATGCAACTGCCGTCAGCAAAGTGGTGTCAAGGCAACCTACGTTGCATCTTGCAAACACAAAGGCATAGTCGAGGGTGTGCGTGGAGAACCCTGGCTCGTCACTCCGACACCAGATGTCTTAGGCGAGAAGAAGGGTCCCTTTTTGGCACTGTCATTCGGATCTCTCACAGAATCTTTTTATCAAGCACTATTGGAGGATCCAGAGAATGACAACTTGAGACTTTCTTTGACACGAGGACTAGAGAGCCGGTTGCTGCACCATGCCACGCCCATCGCAGTCTTAAAGTTCCTTGTTGCTTATCACAACAGATTTCATACAGGATCTGCAACAAGCTTTTTGGAAATGCTGTGGATCGTGCCTGATGCCATTTGCCTTGGTGTTTTATCAACTTTTGCGCAGCATATTTTTTGGTCGTTAGACTGAGAGCTTGTCTGATTCCAAAAATCAAAGCCAAGTGCAATCGGAACAGTCTAGTGACCATATGGGCCATATGGTTTTGGCTTTGATCACAGCATGTGATCTGTGATCAGTTAGTTTAAGTTGGTTTGTTGATTCGTTAGTTTATGATTATGATATCAAACTGATTCAGATTCCCGTTCTGTTCATCACTGATCATCACAGGTTGACAACGCTTTGCAGATCTGGAAGAAGGATCAAGGCATTACTTGGAGCACCAAGGGATATGAATCAAAGTGTGGCTTTGTCAAATTTATATGCCATATTTTGTCAGATCTTTGTTGTAGGGCATGGTCTTTTGTCACCTGTCAGGCTGTCAGACTCCAAGTTCAAGTTTGGACTATCACAGTCATTCATTAAGTCACTAAGGTGCTGACTTCATCCGTCAACATCAGGAATTCAACGAGGTGTTTACAGACTGGCGATCATACGAGTCTGCGAGGGCAGTGTACAATGCGCTATCCAAACGATGGGACCTCATGAAGACAAATTCCACGAATCTGGACACTGTTGGAATGTTTGCGAAGGTGATGTCAGAGCAAACAGATTTTTTACATCCCAGGCTCAACAATTCAGTGATCCTCCAGAACATTCAGTTCATGATCTCGACTGTCACGACGAGCCTATGGGATGGTGTATCCGACCATGAAGTCAAGCTTCTCATTGTGGAATTGTCAAAGCTCTGCGTGCCTAATTTAATGCTCAAGTCATTTGCTACTTTGCTTTTTGTTTCAACAATGTAGACATGGACATGGATAATTTAATGTTGGTTGACTATTTACTTTTGTTTTATCATTGTCGATTTGTCGATGCTGCCTCAACACCACCCGCCACCCACCGGGAATTTACATATTTTTTGTATTGAGTGCAGTTGGTCTCTGTCTCAGGTACCTTTGCTTGAAGACAACGTTGAGGAATCATGGGTCTTTGACACGGTGTCGAAGAAACATCTCTTTAGTCGCATGTGGACGATTATGAATGGCAGTGTGGTGACATTTGGTTCTGGCCCCAGCACTGGTACCAAGAGGAGTGGCAAGGAGAACCAGCAGCCCAAGAAGCGAGCCAAGGCGAAGGCCAAGGCAGGTGCAGGTGGCGGCTCTGCAAATGCTGGTTCAGTGCTGGCCAGCATCCAGATGCCAGAGGAGAAAGACCTCACCGCCACGACCATCAAATGTGAAGTTGGAGTGCGAAGCAAACTTTGGATCGATGATTTGCTGCAGTGTATCCGACACAGCGTGGACAGTTTGAAGAAGCTGCTGAGGGGCGATGCTGACTCATTTGATTTCGATTCCCTCCGGTCTCGGATGCTTCGCCTGGGCCTCTTGTTTTGCTTCACTGGCACAGTGAAAGTTTCAACAGCCCGAGGCTGCAAGGCGCACAAGAAGTGGTCGGGACTACGGGCAGCGTTGAAAGAGTACGCTTTGTGGCAAGTGGTCCAGGTAGGGGTTGAAACTTGAGGGGTTGAGTGGTTGTTGAGGGGCTACAGTCTACAGTAATTGTTGAGACACATGACATGTTGGCTGGTTGATCCGATGTTCTTTTTGTGTTGTTGTTTTGTGTGCAGCGGCGGCCAGGACATGAGAGGTTCTCTGGAAGCAGCCATGCACGCGGACGCAGCAGGTGGCGCTTGCGCTGGTCTTCAAAACCTGGAAGCAGCTGTCAGCATGCATCAGGAGACCAACACGGCCAACAAGCTCAATGTCAACGATAAGTTGAAACAATGGGCGCCTGCAGTTGAGCAGTGGCTTTCTGGTGAAGCACAGAGCCCTCTTCGTTCAGACAATCCGCTGAAAGTCTCTCTCCATGCCTCCTTTGGAAAGATCAAGGCCAGTGTGCTCTACTCCAGTTGCACTTGTCGACGTGGTGCCAGTGGCAACTCGGGTGTTGAAAAGGATGGTGAGACGAGCACATGTTCAATCCATGCGGACAAGGTGGTCTTGACCGATGTGATGTTTGAGGTTGCGAAGCAAGTGCATGAGGTGTTCAACGACCAGTTCATTGCATTTGCCAACCTTTTGGCTGAAGAGACTGTTTCAGGACATGTGACATGGGTTGAACAAAGGTGATTGTGTGTATTCTTTTGACCGACCCGGTTTATTCATTCTTTAGTAACAATTTATACATTTAGTGAAATAGAAATAGGTTGAATTTTTGAAATTGAATCAATAATAAATATCCTGTCCTAATCATGCCAGGATGGGCATTGCCAAAAAATTCTCCAACAGAAGTGACACGCCTCAATCTAAAGGCTGAAGACGTTGATGTCTTGATGCAAATGCGGGCAATGTACATGTGCCAGCTTTTGATATCGTTGACTTCCAGCACGGCTTCAAACTTGTCATCACTGTTCCCGCTTTTCAACCAGGATGAGGTCCTTACCCAGCTTGCTGCGTTGGATGCCTGCTTCATTTCATTTGAGACCATGCATGCAGGTTGGAGCACTGCCTTGTCAGACTTGGCGTCACATGGCTCATGTGACAGCAAAGTTGTTCTTCAATCCATTGGAGCTAAACCATCAAACGCTGGTTGCAAGAAGATTTTGGGAGATGCTGTAGCTAAGAGCGGTGATGATAGCAACCCAAAGGGAGCCGATGATAGTCAGCCAGCCAATGACCTCTTCTCTTGGAACTCTTTGTTGTCATTTGGATGCTCGCCTGATGTTTCTTCATCTGAACTGATGCTTGAACTTCAGCTCAACATTCAAGCACACCTGTTGAAGCACGCTGGCCAGACGGAGAATAGTTTTCGAGAACGGCTTCGCTTGCACATTCCGCAACCACCGCCGGATACATCAACATCATCACGGGCCAAGTCTTCATCAACGTCATTGCCATTTACATTGCTATGGGAGTTGGAAGCCACTGATCGTACATATAAGTCACCATCATCGCCGGACGAGTATGTTCATCTGCCCAAGGACTTTGAGCTGGTTTTCTTTGGTGCTGTTTGCCACTTTGTTTGATGATTTTGAAAACATGTTATTTGTGTTGTTGGTGTTGATTCATTGGCTCATGGCCCACAAAGGCCCAAACAATTGGACGATTGTACCTAATGACTCATGACCTGGCCCATAGACAAAACAACTTAGGTGAGTTCACTCAGGGTCCTTCGCACACAACAACAGCGCGTTCCAAAGCACAAGTTCAGCGTGGGCCTGGCAAACCAGCAACGTGTCTTCCGCTTTCTGTCTGTTTGGGGGAAAAGCCGTTTGGCGTCTTGTCACAAGACAAAATGATTTTTGTGTCTGTGTGCTGTGTGCTGTAATGTTGGTTGATGTTATTCATTTGTTGTTATTAAGTTGTTATTGATATTGATTCTAGGGCCGGTCGATTCGAGTCGATTCGTTGATTTGTTGATTACATGTTTACATTTGATTTCATTTTCATTATGTGTGAGCTGTACCATATGCATTGATCATTGATCATCATAAAATCCTCAGACTCATTGACAAGACATAACACACATGTGTAATATGATGTGACATGAAACATTTATTGTGCTCCTAGGCGGTATCGATCTTGGTGTGGATGGAAGCGCCTTCAGCACTCTTGAATGCGCAGCACCGGCAGCCGCTTGGATGGTTCCATTGATAGCAGAGGAAAAGCGGGGAGCTCCACTGAAGTGGCAAACAAAGGACATCAAGTTCCAGCGGCGTGGCCATGAACTTACTCTTGGAGTTGGGACACTCAGATGCCCCATGGACGCAGACGGTTTTGTGACTATGGCGCGTGTATGTGAAGTCGATGGCAAGAAGTATGCTATTTTGGAACGAAGCATTGTGACACTCGCTTGGTTCATTTATCAACATTGTTTTTTGTATGTTATGTAGCGCAATATTGTTTTGTCTCTGGTACCGTTGGCTTTGAACACGTCAAGTCAAGTCACTGAAAGTGATGTATGCTCTGCGCCAACTAGGCCTGGTGAGAAGTTCAAGAATCAGACACGCAAGCGAGGAAGAGAAGACTCCGACCAAGCTGAGAAGCCAACTGAGGAGACCATTGAAGGAGATGCAGCTGAAGGAGAAGCACCAGCACGTGGACGACGTGTTTTGCGTGGCTGTGCGGGCCGCATCGAATCCATGAAGGGTGATGTCTCGGCAGGTGGCGGTGGCGGTGCTTTGACATTGAATCTCAAAGCCCCTCGCGAGGCCGCTCATTTGGTCAAGTGACATGATGAGCTGATTGCTGCTGCGCTTGGTCACGTGGCTTTGACTCTTTGACAGGTGAGCGGTGAGCGGAGATAATTAGGTGACTTTGTCACACCGGGGACACCTTGCAGGGATAGTGGCCGTCGGGCCGTAGGGTATCAGTGCTGGTTGGTTTGCTGGTTTGTTCTGTGTATGTAACCGAAGTGATGCAGCGCAGGCAACAAACCTTGCAGTGAAGCGGCTTCGTTTGTGTCAGGGGAGCGATGACAATGAAGAAGTAGAAGAAAAAAGAACAACATCAACAGCAACAACAACAACAAACCAAACAACCAACCAACCACAACAACACAACAACAACAACAAGTGATACCAACAAAAACTTAACTTTGTATGTATATCTGTATATCTTGGTGTTCACCTTCACCATCACTGAGTCACCAAGTTTGAGTCTCTCGGTTTCCACCGCTTCCTTGAACACTTGGTCCCTCACTCTTTTCTCTAACACGTGTGGATGAGGGCAATGCCACTGTGGACTCAACCATGAGTCAATGAGGAAAGAGACCGGCATAGATCCGGCGGCGGAAGCAGAAAAAAAACGTTTTTTTCTCAGAGGCAGAGAGTTGCTGCACAGCCTTCACATTGCTTCAAGCTTTTGTTGGATGACTGATTTCACTGACTTTTGACCCACCTCAGGTCCTCCTTCCCGACGTTTTCACACGTTCACCACTATGTTCACAGTCTAGTTCCCAGTTGCATTTCGCTCACGGCTGAGGTTGCGAGGAACCGCCACTGCAAAGCAGTGGGAGCCCAGCCGTCTCTCGAGAAAAGGATCTTTGCAAGCTGGTATACGCCGGTAGAACCTTATTGCCCCACATGATATGATAGGGCCCTAAGGCTGGCCTAGCCTCGACCCAGTGGACAGTCCCCAGGCATCCCTGGGAAGAGCCCATAAGCATCACTTTTTTGATTGATTTGGACCACCCTAATCTTTTCATAAAATTGAGCACCCGTTAGGTTCAGAAATCTTTCAGCCTAAAGTCTACTCGTGGGAACCTTCGGGGTATTTCGGAGGAGCCTTTAAAAGAAAGCATTTCGTGGCAGGTGCAGGGAATGGTGTGAGAAGTGCAGATTTCGTGGCGCGGGGGGGG